CCATCGGTTCAGATCCGATTTCGGGAGATTTCTTCAAGCGCTTCTAAGAAACTTATTCACTTTTGCTCTCAAAGCTTTTTACGTCTCTCCTTCAACTCCTTAATCTCCAGGTTCGGACATATCTGTGTTTTTTTTATTGCGATTGGTTGCTTTTATGGATTAACGATTGGATCTTCTGTTTGGTTCGGATTCCTTATGGGTTGATTTGAATCTGATGCTTGTAAATCTGTGATTTTTCGTCGTGGTTATCGTTATAGGAATTAATTAGTTGTTGAAACCTTTCAAATCCCTAATTTTTTTTTCTCTGGATTTGAGTTTTGGGGTTGATTGGTTTGATAACAAGTTTCGATTTTTGAAAGATGGGTTAGCTTTGGTTTTAACGCTTTTTTATGCTTTACATGGAGAGAGATTGATTTTTTTGAATGGTATCTATATGTTAATTAGATGAACCATAAGGTTATTTCTCTCCTGACATTGATATTTATTCAGATATTAATGCTTGTATTCCTCTCTACGTGGAATTTCAAGTTTGGCTATTCTGTTACATTCTGTGCAGAAAATTTTCTCAGGATTGGTTTGTTGTTCATTATCTTTGGGTGTTTTGGTTTATAGCTAAAAGGTTAAATTTTTGTGTGTTTTTTGTTTGTTGTAGTCATGGCAGGATCAGCAGCAGAAGGTACACAGTTTGATACTCGTCAGTTTGACCAGAAGATGAATGAAGCGTAAGTCCTTAAGATCTATTTATTATCTTTGTTTAATACTTGTGTGTCTCCTCTCGTGTGGTTTGCTAATGTTGATTGTGTTATTTGGGTGCAGACTTGAGGGACAAGATGAGTTCTTCACTTCGTATGATGAAGTTCATGAGAGCTTTGATGCTATGGGTTTGCAAGAGAACCTCCTCAGGGGTATCTATGCTTATGGTAAGTGGCGTTTTTACTAAATCGTAGAAACTATCCTTTTGTGTGTGTTTGTTGGGTGCGTACTTATGGGATTTGATTTGGTCTTTGTAGGTTTTGAGAAGCCTTCTGCTATTCAGCAAAGAGGAATTGTACCCTTTTGCAAGGGTCTTGATGTGATCCAGCAGGCACAGTCTGGTACTGGAAAAACCGCAACTTTCTGCTCTGGTGTCTTGCAGCAGCTTGACTTCAGCCTTGTCCAGTGCCAGGCTTTGGTTTTGGCTCCAACTAGGGAGCTTGCTCAGCAGATTGAGAAGGTCATGCGTGCTCTCGGAGACTACCTTGGTGTCAAGGTTCATGCCTGTGTCGGTGGAACCAGTGTTCGTGAGGATCAGCGTATTCTCCAAGCTGGTGTTCATGTTGTGGTTGGAACTCCTGGTCGTGTGTTTGACATGCTCCGAAGACAATCTCTTCGCCCTGACTGCATCAAGATGTTTGTTCTTGATGAAGCTGATGAAATGCTTTCCCGTGGTTTCAAGGACCAGGTCTGTCTATAATTTATCGAGGAGTTTGAATCTTTACGATTTATGGTTTAATAAACTCTGATCTTGACTTGGATGTTTTGTTGTGAATTTCCAGATCTATGACATATTCCAGCTTCTCCCACCAAAGATCCAGGTCGGAGTTTTCTCTGCAACAATGCCACCAGAAGCTCTCGAGATCACTAGGAAGTTCATGAGCAAACCTGTGAGAATCTTGGTGAAGCGTGACGAGCTCACCCTTGAAGGTATCAAGCAATTCTACGTGAACGTGGAGAAAGAAGAGTGGAAGCTCGAGACTCTCTGTGACCTCTACGAGACCTTAGCCATCACTCAGAGTGTCATCTTTGTCAACACTCGTCGCAAGGTCGACTGGCTCACAGACAAAATGAGAAGCCGTGACCACACAGTCTCAGCAACTCACGGAGACATGGACCAGAACACAAGAGACATCATCATGAGAGAATTCAGGTCTGGTTCTTCCCGAGTCCTCATCACTACCGATCTCTTGGCTCGTGGTATCGATGTGCAGCAAGTCTCTTTGGTCATCAACTTTGACCTCCCAACTCAGCCTGAGAACTACCTTCACCGTATCGGAAGAAGTGGAAGGTTTGGAAGAAAAGGTGTGGCGATTAACTTTGTGACTCGTGACGACGAGAGAATGCTTTTCGATATTCAGAAATTCTACAATGTGGTCGTTGAAGAGCTTCCATCAAACGTTGCTGATCTACTTT